CATTGCTTCTTTTCCATAACACATATTTTAACACCATGACACGCTACTTCAATTTTTTACACCAAAGCATAGTGTGATGGATATTCCTGGTTGTCAATTTGACTACATCTGGAATTAACTAAAACACAAATGGCTGTGCACACCTATGAGGGATTTTTTTTTCTCTTAATTAAGTCATTTAAGTGGGAGGATCCACTTTTAATCTGGATCTTTGAGGCGAGAAGATACACCTTCAGTCCAGATCTTTTGAGGTAGAAGATCCATCCACCTTCCATCTGGGCCACCTCTTCTGCTGGCAGCCTACATAAAGGCCATGGAAGAAGGAGGCTTGCTTTCTTTGCCAGCTTGCTGTCACTCTTGCTAGAAAGCCCATTCCTTCACTGAAATTAGAGCCTACTTTGGGATTCTGGCAAATACAGAGGACCAGCTGAGACATCCAGCCTCATGGACTGAACTTACTGGATTTTTGGACCTTTGGTTGGTGGACGGCCATTGTTGGACTAGCTGGATGAACCACTGCCTATAAGCCAGTGGTTCTCAATCTTCCTAATGCTGTGACCCTATAGTTCTTCATGTTTGGTAACTCACAACCATAAAATTATTTCATTGCTACTTCATAACTATAACTTTGATACTGTTATGAATCATAATATAAATATCTGAGATGCAGGCTATCTGATATGCAACACCTATGAAAGGGTTTAGGTTGAGAAACTCTGCTGTAAGCCATTTTAATCAATCTCTCTCCCTTTCCATATATATATATATATATATATATATATATATATATATATTCATTCTATAAGTTCTGTTCCTCTAGAGAACCCTAATGCCCACAGTATTCCATTATATTTTTAGCCCATTCTGATGAGTTATACCCAATCTTTCATTTACAAACAAAAATTCAGGGACATATTGTTTACCTATTTGTGTTCTCATGGATCCCTGGGTCAAAAGATCTGTGCCTTTTGAATTTTGATGCTGTATAATTTCTTTCTACTGATGGTAGATCAAAATATTCATGCCATTTTGCTGTCTAGACACTGGGGCTAGGTTTACTCTGCCCTCCGGTTCCGATTGTACCTATTACTGTCAACAAGTTCCTTGGTCACATCATGACATTAGATTGTTGCCCTGCTCTTTTTTCTTCAAACACTGCTTGGACTGGACTATTTGTGGGTCAGGGTAGAATATCTGCCTTGCATGTGTTATGGCCTCAGCTTGAAAAAAACACCTATGAAAGACAGATTTCATGGGCATTAGAGTAATTTCTTGAGTATAGTCACTGTCACAAGATTGGCTCCATGAATGTCATGACCAATGAAATGAATGTGTTTCATTGAGGACATGGTGGGAGTGGAGACATCTATCATTACATGTTACCCCACAGGCAGAGCCTCAGGGTGGCTGGGAGCACCTGTTTGGGGCATCTCTGTGCGAAACTGGCATTGACACTTGGGTGGCAGTGGATTAGACTACTTTCACTGCCCTGCCTCTGTGGAGGCTTGCAGACCACCCAGTTGTTCTTGCCAGCCCTTTGGTGTGGACTCAATTCATGTTCAATGAAAAAAGCAGTTAACTTTTTTGAATATTGAATAGGTATTTGGTTTCTCAAAAATACGACCTATTATAATGCTAATAACTGGCAACTGGTATTTGGAGCATACTGAAAAAGGCAACTATTATCAACCCGCTGGAAGCGAATTGTTGACTACTAAGCTAATAGCAATGGGGGCATTCTGAGGATGGAACCTGCTTAACTTCACATGAAACCTAGAACAAGGAAGGGGTTCTGATATCACTTTTAGCTGTTACCTTTGGTTTTCCCCACAGTGTTTCCTAAGGTTAAACAAATACACCAAGGCATTTCCACAAGTCAGAGCGTGGCCACTGTGATGTGCTCCCCAAACGGTGTCTGCACCCTGAACCTGACTTCACAATACATCTGAGAAAGAGGCGTTGTGGTTTCATGATGAAGCCGCCACAGTCAAGGGCAAGCATGAGATACAACAGACTTCTCCCCCTAAAGTAACACTCCCAGAAACGGTTCATGCAGCATGGAAGCCTCGATCAGCTGCTGCGTCCAGCGGGACTTGAAGCTGAAATTCCATGCTGCTAAACCCAGTGAATCCTGACCAGGGCTTATTCTCAGGAGCTCAGTAAAAAGGGAAGACTATAAAACATGCACCTAACAAAGCATATCAGCAGCCTGAACGGGGCAGGCCTGTCCAGATAGGAGAACCCTAATAAATAAACGAAGCACAACATTTATGGCCAACCATCATGTCACTAGCCCACAGAAAACTGGAGCCGCGCAGCTGGGAGAGGAGGAGTCTGCAGCCCGAGAAGGCCATGGAACGTGCCCAGGCTCAATTATTTATGGTGTGCAGATGAAGAGACAACCTTCCATATGAGGAACAGTTCAGCAGAGGAGGGTGGGCTAAACCAGGATGAGATCCAGAGAGCCAGTGAGCACCACGAAAGGGACATGAATACAAATGACAAGCAATAAAACAGTACAAATCAGAAACATTGTAACTTTCAGAAATAATTTAGGGTCAAAAGAAAAGGGGGGAGGGAATCTGGCTTTGGGACAATTTTCTGAGAAGAAAAGACATTAAGCAAAATGAAAGTGCTGAGTTGAAGACCCAATTTGCTGCAATGCCATCCTAGCTATGAGCTTGGTGCTTTATTGAAAGAAAGAGAGAGAGAGGGAGGGAGGGAGGAGGAAGGAGGGAGAGGGAGAGGGGGAGGGAGAGAGAGGGCAAAGCAGCAATTTTGCATTTAGGTGATGTACTTTGTTGTTGTTGTCCCCTAGTAACGATCTGTGTGTCGTTGCCTGTATAGTAGGGCTCAGTCTGACAAAGGGCTATCTCTGTCCTCAAGAGACTAGGGGCCTTAAACCAGCTTCTGGATGGTGTGTGCATATGACACAGCTTCACCAGGGAGAGCAGAGGGGCAGTTGCAGGAGAAAGGTGCAGATCTGGAATTCCAGCCTCCATAAATGTGCTTTTTATACAGAGATGTGGATTCCTCTGTTTCTCCGTAGTTTCTGATCTTTCAATCTATACCTAAAGGCTGTCCGGGCCATTTCTAGTGACTTTTATATGCTACGATGAACCTCCTTCAAACCTGAGCCAAAGCATAAGAAATACCATCCACCTGCTGCTATATGCTTCAAGAACTCTTCCTAGCCACTTCTTGAGGTGAGATTGTCACTGTTATTTAGAGAGAGGCTGGAGCCCCAGAAAGAGACTTCTCTCCAGGCCACAGGAAGTAAGTGGCAGAGTACTTTATTCCCCCCGTATGGGTTCTGGGGAGGACTGGCTGGAACTGTGCCAAGATCCAAGGGCGGCTCTCCCAAACCTACTAGCTCAGTGACTCCCTCCCCCAACAAGGGCCCTCTTTTCTTGTCCTCTAGAAGCACTGATTTAAAGGGCCAGACGTCTCTTGTCTTGGCCAGCACCAGGACAGTTTGCACTGCTGCACAGGTCTACTTCTCCAGGGTGGCATCTGAAGGAGTCCTTCTATATAGGTCCTTCATGTTTTCATTCTTCAAAGGCAATCAATTGGACTCGAACCCAGGAGCCTGCACTCTATCCTCGAGCTATGTCTCCAGGCCCAAGAGTTTTCTTGTAGATGCTCGGTGGTTCCACTCGTCTACCAGACCCTCTATGCCACGAATCAGTGTTCTGATGGCATGCTTCTAACTTCGGTCAGGAACTTCAGCCACCACCCTGAAACACATTCTAGAAGGAAATCTGGAGCCAAGCATACCTTCTGTTCACTTCTGTTCTCTTCTCCACTCCAGCTTGCCACCTAGTTCCAGTCTATCTCTTATTACACCAAGGGCTTGTGGCTGAGTGGGGGGTCCCCACAAACAAAGTGCCATCAAACTTTGCTCTGCCTGCCAGGTACACATCCACCAGAATGGCCATTTTGCTCTTGGCCAGTTTTCTGAAACCCTGCTCTGTACTGGAGGACTGGATGGTCTATGAATCATTTCGGAGTTTGATTAAAATATATATATATATATGTATATATATACATACATATATATATATATATATATATATATATTTTTTTTTTTTTCTCTTTAAGACAAAGTTTCTCTGTGTAGCTTTGGCACCTTTCCTGGAACTCACTCTGTAGCCCAGGCTGGCCTCGAACTCACAGAGATCTGCCTGCCTCTGCTTCCCGTGTGCTGGGATTAAAGATGTGCGCCACCACTGCCCGGCTGATTTCAAATGGTATTCTTGGTAGATTACAGGTTTTATACCTTTAAAATAAATGTTGCTAAGAACTAGCAAATTCATTAGTGGTACATGCAGACTATTTCATCATTAATGGAAGGGGTCTAAGGGCATCAAGCACTTGTTGCGGCGATCTCTCTGAAGCTGAGTTGAGGGTGATCAATGGATAGACCACAGAAAGATGCTCTGGAGGATCCAAACCAACGTTCTTTCTCAGATTTGCAAAACTGTTACCAAAAAGGTCTCCTTCCCACACTGCTGCAACCACAAAGTACCTATAACAGCTAGACATTAAAAAAGGTGATGTAAGACCCAGTAGCTTAGGCATCAACATTCTCTTCTTCCTTCCTGGTAACTCGCTCAAGCCCGGGCCTGGCAAACAAAACAGGACTGGCCACATGCACAGAGCTCTCAGGGAAGGCAGCGGGTTTAGGGTGCTGAGTGCTTAGACCCCACTTCCCAAAAAAATAACTTGCAGACAGGATGGCCAGAAACTTCAAATGGCAACTTTTGTGATTCGAGATAATTTCGTAGGAATTTAAGAGGCTATCACTTATGTTTGACTTTCAAAGAGATTCTGGGCTTTAAAGGCACAGTTGCATCTAAAATTGATCAGCTAGCGACAACTCTCTGAAGTTCCTGGGCAGGAGAGAAAGCAGGAGGCACCGCCACATCTGGACTGCACCATATAGTTCACTTTCCAGGTTGTAAATTTTCTGCCACAAAGACTTCCCGAAAATAACTTTCTAGCATGCAAGTACATTTTTTTATTCGCTGAAGTATCCATTTTTTTTTTTTTTTATTATTTTGAGATGGAACACTAGAATACTTGCTGGCTACTCTTCAAAGAACTGCACATTTAAGAAAACAGCAAAATTACAAAAAATGTGTCTTGAAAACACAGATTTAAATTATGGTAGAGAAAACATTAAAAAGACTGTTCTAGAGCATATTCAAATAAACCAGAGACTAATAACATGAACATTTATCATGTAACCATATACTTCAGTTGGACTACATTCCACAGTTGTAGAATTAACTGTTGATAAATATAGTCAAACAGTATCAAAATAAGAGGACACATACACATACACTTACACACCACCACATACTCAAACACACCCACACTCACTCACACACTCAAAAATTTGCAATCGAGAACAATCTTCTCTACATTTCAATTTCCCAATTTTAATATTTGTATTTATTATGAAATAAAGTCTATGATATTAGAGAATGCATGGAATTTTAAAGTGAGACTATATATGTTAGAAAAGTTCATCCAGGGCACATATTTTCTTTGTTTGTTTTCTTTTTTTTTCAAGACAGAGTTTCTCTGTGTAGTTATGGCACCTGTCCTGGATCTGGATCTCGCTCTGTGGACCAGGCTGGCCTCAAACTCATAGAGATCTGCCTGGTTCTGCCTCCCGAGTGCTGGGATTAAAGGCGTGCACCACCACTGCCCAGCCCCATATTTTATTTCTTAAGAAAATAAAACTATGCACAAAAAATTACCTCTGTGCCCTGGTGTTAGCCCTGGAGTACTGAATCCTTACCATGAAATACTAACAGAAACAGAGCATGACAGAAAGGTGGTGTCACATCTCTTCAGCTGCGTGGCCTCAGTGTCACTGCTTTACCTCACTGGGGAACTCAGGAGCTCCCTGGTTAGAGAATACACCCAGGATAGCCCAGAGTCTGGTGGGGTCCTCACAGTTGTGCTGGTGTGCCCAGTGAAGAAGCAGGTCCTCCTTCCTCCCCAGCCTCCGGGCACAGAGCAGGCAGTTAAAGCCTGAATGGGGCCAGAGAAGCCTGGTGGGGTGCTGTGGGCTGTTCATTCCCCATGGGCCACCTTCACTTTCTGCCAGCACTTCCTCTCTCTTCTGATGAGGGGGTGGCTGCCTTTTTACTTTCGGAAATGCTGGGGAGTCCTCCACAGAGGCACAAGGCTTAGCCTGCTTCCTTCTCTCAGTGTGAGGCTTCTGGTGGGGAGCCCCAGCTCTGCCGCCTGGTAAGACTGCCTCCTGAAGTCGGCCTTGGATCTCTTCGCCGTGAACATGAAGCAAATGGAACTTTATTTCAGCAAAAGACTGAGCAGTGATCTGACAACGGGCACATCTAATTTGCAACTTGACTTCATCTGTCTGGTTTAGAAGGAAATCTTCTTCCAAACTTGACTTGGTTTCCCTGGAAAGGGGGAAACAGTAGAGGTAAGACTTCCCAGGAAAATGCAGGTGCATCTCTTGACATCAGGTCTTGGCCTCCAGGGGTATAAGGCACCCTGCTATGGAGATTTCTGCAAAGCCTGAGCAGAGGCCATAGCAAGCTGCCACTCCTAGGGCCAGACATCTCTGAGGCCACCAGGGACAAGAGTCCTGCATCTCCCCCTAGTGAAGCACCTCCCTGGTTACCACAGGTGTAGTCAACATGAAGATGAGGTCATATGACAGGAGCTGCCACAGCACACTGTGGCACTGCTGGAGATGACTGTCTTACATCGTCATGCCACCCCCACTTTGGCAGTTCTAACATCTTACTTCAAGATGATCTGAGTACATGAAAGCAAGCGTGAAGGGAGGCTCCATGGCACATGAGCGGAAAGCATGTTAGTGGGAGATGGAATGAACTACTGGAGATGGGGAAAGGCGAAAGACAAGAAAAAGCTAGGGCAGGCATCTTGTTGTTATCCATTATGACCGAATACAAAATACTTAGAGGAACTGGAACAATAAAAAACAAGGAGCAGAGAACATAAGGTGTTGGGCAGCATTTCCTTCTCATCCCTCAGGCACCTCAGTTGTGGGCGTAGACCACACTACAGGCACTTCCAGGGTCACTGCTGCTCAAGTGCTGGCCTTGTCAGCACCCAGATTATGGAGCTTGTTGTTGTTGAATAATGTCAAGGAGCAGTGCTTACCAAACAGAAGGACACAGGGAAAACCTAATCTGGCCTGACAGGTAACAAAGGGCACAGTCAGGGTTAGCTGGAGTACCCTGGGGTCTGGTGAAGGGGGTGGCTTCACATGGTATTATGGGGTAGATAAAGCTGTTTAGATAAGAATTCTGTGAACAATAATTTTGGGGAAACCACTTTATAAAGACTACTAAAAAGTATATATGGTAATCCACTATTTTAATTTTTAGATGCAAAAATAATCTGTCACTCAGGTGTCTCCAGCATACCCAAACTGGCATTCATGCCTTGACTTACACAAGTTTGAGTAAGTAAACATTGTGACTGAGCAGACCAACAAGAAATGTGGTCATTCTTCAAAGAACTGAGTGGGTGGGACGAGGTGGCTTATTTTACCTTATGACATCTTTTGTTGTTGTTATTTTGGGCCAGGGTCTCACACAGCCCAGGCTGACCTTGAATTCCTGGTCTCACTGTCTCTATCTGTCAAGTGCTAGGATTGTAGGTGTGTACCACCACTCCTGACTATGTTCTGGAATCCTAATCTTCTCAAATCACAACAGGCTTTCTTGCCAGGCTTCCCTTCTGGGAGCACTCACCTCTCCAGTGGGCCATCAGCTCCTTGCACATAGGTATCTCTGTCTTTGTTCTTTGGCGTGTCTCCTGGCTGCAGGTCACTGGAGGAGGGCTCTGTGCTGATCACAACCCTGTGCACCTCCTTCAGATGGCCAAAATAAACTCGGACATGACCGAACACTTTTGCACAAAACTCACAGCACATGAGTTTCTTGGGGCGACTCTCACCATGGTGAAGTTTCATGTGCGCGCTCAGGCTGCCGGGACGGACATAGGCCTTGCGACAGATCCCACAACTGTAAGGCCGTCTGTTGGTGTGTGTATTCATGTGGTCTAGAAGGTGATGTTTGAACTGGAAGTGGTGGTTACAGACGGGACACATGTGCCAGGGCTTCTTAATGCCAGAGAATCCATTTCTGAGCACAGAGCTGGGCTTAGGGGTAGGGCTGTCACTTTGCTTGGAGCCAAGACACTTTGGAGGCAGTGCACTGTTCAGCAGAACATCCTGACCTAGGCTGCTGGGAGCCTGGGACTGCAGTGCGGCTGCAGGAGACGCCAGAGGTGCCAAAGCAGACATGACGATGATAGGCTTGGGCATGATGCTGCGATACTTTCTCGAAGCAGCCTTGGGCTTCTGGTCTCTGGGTTCTTGGGAACTGTTTCTCCCCCTCTCTATGCCATCTCCACACATACCGATAATGAACTTCCTCCTTTTGCCCTGCAGAGATAAAATCTCATCTGGCACTTTCCATTTTCTCCCTCTTCTCTTTGCTGCCCCACTGCTGGGTTTTCCTTTGTGGCTGAGGTCTAGTTTGGTGACAGGACAGACGGTACTTTCACAAGCACTCTGCTTTGACCCATGCAGAGCACTCATCTTGCTGGGCATTGTGGTGGCTGCATCAAACCTTTCTGTTATGGACAGTTTCTCATCACAGTTTGCCCTGTATCCAAATGAAGATACTTCAGCATCATCAGCATCTGTGGCTTTCTCTCTTGAGAAGGGCAGGATGGGCATTTTACCCTTCGGTACTGAAGAGACCAAATGAACCACACTGCCGAAGACGGTGTGTGCAGGGGCCACCTCTTCTCTGAGCTCGTCACCAGCACCAGCAGGCTTAGTGGGCACCTCCTTCCTGGCAGTACCAGCAGGCTTAGTGGGCACCTCCTTCCTGGCAGTACCAGCAGGCTTAGTGGGCACCTCCTTCCTGGCAGAGTCTGGCTTCTGCATGATTGCTGGGAGGTTCTGTGGGGAAGAGGAATCCTCTGCAGTGCATGCTGGGATGGCAGGAAGCTTCAGGTCTCCACAGCTGTTGGTCACTAGAGGATTTGAATCTCTGTGGTCACTACTACTGGTCAGTGCAGCTGTTCTGACGGTGGGAGAAGGGTTCAAAGCAGACATTTGCTTCAACAGGTTGGTCTTGTGAGGAAGTTCAGAACAGGCTCGTGGAGAAGGGGACATCTGGCATGTCTGGGCTGGGCTAGAAGGTTCATTCCAGCTACTCTTGGGAGAGCTCAGGTCCTGTTTCTGTCTTAACCCTTTGCTACTTAGTGGTTGATATCGAGGAATAGGCAGTTTAAGGTTTTCATGCAGGGACATTCTGGGCTTCTGAACTGGCTGAGCTGAGGCAACATTTGGCAAAGCAAAAAGAGAAAACGTCCCCTCCTGGCCAGCCACCTGCATCAGAGCATAGTTCTGGGTGGGCATGCCCAGAGGCTTGGAGGTTAGAGCCAGACTCCCTTGGTCAGAAAGTGAGGAAGGACACGGTAGCACTCTGGATGTTAAGACTTTAGGCACAATTTTTGGTGCAATGGTCCTAAACTGACTCTTATTCTGTAAACTTTTCCCACTCTGTGCTGTTCCAGAAGGGATGTTTGATTCATCTGCAATGACAATACACAGATTACTACAGTGTAACTGTCCTGGTACTGAAACTTCAATTCATATCTGATCTGGGCTAGAGACCTGGCTCAGCAGTCAAGAGGATATACTGATCTTGCAAAGGACTTGAGTTCATTTCCCTGCACCCATGTTAGGTAGCTCACACCTGCTGTAACTCCAGCTGCAGGGGATCCAATCCTCTTCGGGCTCATTCAAGCACCTGCACTCATGTGTATACATCCACACCCACAATACATATAACTTTAAAAAGTCTAATTTTTCTGTGTAGAGCAGATTCCTTGGCCCTTCCCCATCTTCCTAAGCAACTGTCTATGTCCTTCAAGACAAAGTTTGAAGGTCACCTGCCCTGCTTTCCCAAGGACTGTAATTCTCCTCCACTGTTGCAACATAATTCTCCTGTTAGAATAGCAGCCATTAAAGAGAACTTCCAGAGAGCTGGGACTCTGCTCTTCTGGTCCCTGTGCTCTGTAAGTCCTTCATCTAGCCTCTGTCTTATCCACTTTTGACCCATCTTCACAAGCCAGAGCAATCCCACTTTCCTTCCTGATCTCCAGAGCTGCAAAGTATCTTCTCTGGAACATTCTACTGTGATTTCTGTTTTATACACATGTCTTGCTTTCCCAGAACACCTAAGCTTTATGAAGGTGAGACATAATAAGTTCATCTCTTATCACCCACTGCATCTTTAGTCTGAAACAAATGCTTTTTGCATCACCTGCCTTTTCACTCTGGTTTAGGCTGCACCATTGGTGCTATCAATGCAGTTTGCTTTGCAAAGTGACGAATTCCAGACTGAAGGTGGCTTTGGTGCTGTTCCCTGTGTGACTTGTGAAATTTCTTCTCACACTTTTCAAACTGTTCATGTATGCTTTTGCAATTAAATCATCAGCATTAAAAAAAAAAAAACTGATGTGACACTTTAAAAAATGTGAAACATAACCAAAGAGACACAGGATGATAAAGGTACAGAGCTGAAGAGAAAAAAAAAAAAAAGAATCACACAGAAAGCACCTTCCAGGATACTAACAGGAACAATTTCAACTGATGGAATAACGTTCCATTCATCCCAGATTTATTGGCCTGACCACAGAGCAATTACTACAACCTTCAGAGAACAATTAAGGAAACATTTTGGCTCCCCATTCTAAGAACTGAATCATCCATTTTATTCCCCAAGGCCTCAAGGTCACAAGGCCTGGCTGTGGAGAAGTTTCTTATTTTTAAGTGCCTCCTATTAATCAAACTTCATGTATGCTCATATGTACTAGCTGCATGCACTAGTCTAGGAACTGGGTATTGCAAGTCCATAATCCCCTTTCTGAAAGTTATGGGGCCACATGAGGGTTGGAGTTTATACTTTCACATTTTAGAAAAGTAGTAAGATAGAAACACACACACCAAATGTTACACAACACCCAGCAGAATCTGCAGGTCATCGATAATTAAACCCACTGCCACACCTGCAGCAAAGTACATTAGCACTTGCAACACAGCAGGGCAATGAAAGTTCTGAACTGTTATTTCAGTCCAGGGGTTTACCTCTGAATGACTGAGGTACTAATTTTTAATTTAGATTTTGGAGCTTTGTGTAAAGAATTTTAGAAACATTTGTTTGTGCGGATACCAGGGACAGGAATGTGGGGAGCTAAAAATCCAATGAAATACAGAGTAAAAGCTTTAAAATTAGCCCTTATTGACTGCCCACAGTTAGTGAACCAACAATTTGATCAGAAAGTTGCCTGTTAACACTATGGTAATAAGCAACATGGTAGGAATAATTTGAAAAGTATGACAACTTACTTTAGAAAGTACTTTAATATTTGGTTAAGAAAGAGGATGTTGGGTGTGATCTCACACACCTTTAATCCCAGCACTTGGGAAGCTGAGGCAGGTAGATTTCTGAGTTTGAGTTCAGCCTGCTCTACAGAGAGAATTCCAGGACAACCAGGGCTACACAGAAAAACTGTCTCCAAAAATAAATAAA